TTTGAGTGCTCTGAAGAGAGGATTAAGGTGGGGAGAGGGAACTGTCATTGCCTTTGCACCTCGGGTGGTTGCTGTGCCTGCTGTGTGCCAGTGGCTCCCAGTGGGCTCATGGCTGACTGCCAGGCTTCCAGTGCAGAGCCTGCTGGGAGCCCTCCCCTGTAGGGAAGGGATGGTATTTCCAGGATGCCTTGCTGCCGGACCAGGTGCTTAAGGACAACGAGCATTTAAAATGTATGCGCTTTGGGTAGGGAAGGGGACAGCTGTTTTCTTTATAACTTGAGTCCTAATTTAAGCTCTTCTCTGAGTCTTTTTGCCTCAGAGTTGCCCCTCTTTTGGCCAAAGTTGAAAGTGTTCCTTTCTGGGTTCAAGGGATAATTTAAAGTGCTTTTGATCGAATTAAAGTCAAATTAATTTAGTGCTGCTTTGAATGATTCTTAAGTTCTGCTACTTGTGAAAAGCTTATTTGGAGGGGAGCTTTGGCTGAGCATTGTGTGTCTTTGGGGGTTGGGGGAGGGTGCTGCTTGCAGCTCCCAGACCGCTGCTCTTCTTGATCCCCTCCTCCTTTTGTTCTCTTCTTACTCCTCTCCCCTTTGATCTACATTTAACTGGTACTGAATGAACTCCCCTAGCTAGTATTTGATTGCAGCCACGGAGCACTGCTTTGCGGAGAAAGAAATAATTGCAGAAGCCAGCCAGCCCCACTGGTATTTTCAGTCGGAATGTGGTCATCAAGCTGGATGAGGGATTAGAGGGGAATAAAGATGGTTTTATTTATTATTATTGTTATTATTATTTTGATAGCGCATTCCAAATACGTCAGTAACCATTAATTGGTAGTGCGAATGGAATCTGTTTGTGTAGCTGAGGACAGTGGGCGGGGCGACAGGCCAGCAGAGCTGTTTGGTGTGCCTGGCCAGCCTGGGGCTGGGCTCTGGTTCTGCCTACATGGTAGTTAATAGCTGCCCTATCCACTCACCTCTATGCCTCGCATAGCATGGGGTGTCTCCTTGCTGTATTGACTTGTCTGTTCTGTTTCTAACCTGAAGCCCGCCAGATATTCCCACCTGCCCAAGGATGGATGACATCGGTCTTATGTGTTTGAAGCCAAGCATGTTCCTTTTGATGATAGCATCCAGAGCCTTCGGGAGACCTCAGAGGTCTTGGGTCAAGAGAATTTGTAGAGAGGATTCTGAGCCTGTGTCACCACTCCTAGGTTCCGGGTCCCCTGAAAGCAGAGGTGGAAAGGCCTTGCGTCTTCCAAAGCCAGAACTGAAAGCTGAAGCTGGTATTACATTCCCCAGCCCCTTCCTTTGTTCAACTCTCAGGCTTCTGCCTATTGCATCTCCCATTACTGGGGATAGCAGGAAACCCCTCATCTGGGTCTGGGGCCCCTCCCGGGAGCCCACAGTGTACAGCTGCGATAAGTTGGTTTCCGCTTCTTAGCTTTGTGACTTTACACAAGTGTAGTTGACTTTCTGAGCCTCGGGGTCCCATTTGTTAACGGAGTGTAATCAGAACTGCCTTGCAGGACCAGGGGGTTGAGTGAGATTAGGGCCCAGCACTCTGTCGGGTGCATGCACCCTGCCCACTCAACGCTGGGACAGACAGGACAGTGTTGTGGAGGCTGCCAGGGGGCCCGGGCCCTCCTACCCACCTTCTCACTGTCTACCATCTGCTTCCCACTGCTGTTAATCCCACTCAGATACCGTTGCCCTGAGGATAAGCAGGCTGGCCTGGGCTTTCTGTCCTTGGTGAAAAAGATCTGTCCTGCTGGCTGGGGAACCTGCTTTCCCTTTAAGAGCTGGATAATGCCATTATTGAGGGCCTTTTATGCTGTGTGCTAAGTATTTTATAGACACTCTCATTCGAATCCTCCCCTCAACCTTGTGAGGTTGATATTATCATTCCCAATTTACAGGAAAGGAAATCGAGGCCAGGAGTGTTGAAGTACATTGCCCGGACCATGGCTGGAATGTAGCAGTGCCCTGGGTTTGTGACTGGATCCGACCCCTGTGATACTGCCCTCACTCCCCTACCCCTGGAGCTGGCAGCACAGAGTGCATCCTTCCCCAAACTTCAGTGGCAGTGGAAGAGGCTGGAGGGAGCAGTGTCCCCTCTGGGCTGTGGTCCTAGGTGGCTCTGCAGGATATAAGAGCCTGATTTCTTCCCTACTCCCCTGTTATAACACTCACCACACACACGTAATTGTTCAGTACTGTAACCCTAGCACCTAGCTTGGCACATGGTAGATGCTCAATAAAAATATCTCAATTGAGTGAATGACTGTATCCTGAGTCTTACCATTAAATGATATGATTACTTTGAAATGGTTCTGCAAACACATATGCAAGCACAATGTTGTAAATACAGCAAAATTCTCATTCTTTCTACTTTTCTGTTTGAAATTTTTCATAATAAAACTTATTTTTAGTTTAAAATTTCCATATTATTAAATTCCTATTATTATTTTCCTTGTAAACGTACACATATAACTGCCTGATATTCTACTGTATTTAACCAGTTCTCACCGTTGGATATTTAACTGTTTTTTTTTTCTATTTCTATTTAACTGGATTATTTTTCTATTTATTTTCCTATAAATAATGTGATTAGCATTCTTATATATAAATTAGGGGCTGCATCTCTGATTCTTTCCCAATAATACATCTCTAAATGTAGGATACTAGGGAAAGAGCTGGAGTTTTTTTTTCAGGATCTTTTTGCCAAATTGCTCTCCAGAAAGATTGCACCAGTTTATACTCCTCAGAAGGGTGTGAGTGTGCCCACAGTCTCACTGGTACTCTATGTTATCTTTCTTTTTGAATGTAAGTTTGGTAATTTTTAAAAAATAATAACTTATTCTTAGTTTGCACTCCTGGATTCTATCTAATGGAGGCTGGGCATATCCATTTGTGTTGTGGTCATTTGTCTATGTTCTGTGAACCGTCCAAGTGCCCATTTATCTGTCCGGCTGTTTTCCTACATATAAAGCATCCTGGTCCTTCATTCTTGTGGCAAACGTTTTATCCCAGATCATCAGCTGCCTTTTAATGTTGTCAACAGTATGCTTTGACATACAGAAAACCTCAGTTCTGTATATATGTGGTAGCAGCTCTCAACTTTCTCCCTTATTACCTCAGCCTCAGACCCCCTTCCCACCAGCCAACTCTGACTGCTAACAGGAGACAAGAGAGCTTAGTGGTTAAGAATGGGAGCTTTGCTGCCTGACCCCTGGGACCAAATGCTAGTTCTGCCCCCTACTAAATAATGACCTTGGGCCAATTTCTTAATCTCACTGAACCTCGGTTTCTAATCCATAAATGAGATGATGAGATTATCTGTCACTTAGCGTTGTTGTAAGGAGCAAATGGGCTATTATTTATAAAGTGCTTAGAACAGATCCTGGTTTGTAGTCAGTGCTACCTAAATTTTGCTTTTATTGTGACTTTGCAGTGAACCTGTGAGTCTTATCATTTGGAAAGGATTTTGTTTGCAAAGCTAATACATCATCAGTGAAAGAGAAGCTGGGTTTGTCAAGCAGGGGCTGAGCCCTGTGACAAACAAAACTCGGTCTTTGTTACTTTAACTTGTACTTCAAAATAGATCTCCCTTTTATTTTTGTTAGATGTTATTAAGTTTAAACAAACTAATTACATGCCCAGACACCACTGTTCATTTCTGTCAGCTGACCCCACTCAGCATGGGGCTTAAGCTTGTGACCAAAGATCCCTAGAAAGTGCACAGAACAATAAAAACTAGAAATACTGTTCCTCTTCAGTTTAGCGGATGTTTGTCACAGACCTGTGATAGGCCAGGCACCATGGATTCCATGGTGAGTAAGACGTGGTCCCCAACCTGGACCCACATCCCAGCCTGGTGAGGCTCCCACCTGGACTTGGAATCTGGAGCAGGGATACTCGGGATGTACTCCAAGGGGTGGCAACTGGTGTCCGGTGACCTTGGCTGGGGTCTGACAACCCGGCCTCTTTCGGCTACTGCCTGCTTCCCCAGCCTGGTTCTCCAGCCTTTCCTGTGGAGTTTGAGAGCTTCCCTCCTCCTCATCTTTCCAACAGATCCCTCCTCCATTTAGAAGCGCCAGAGTCAATTTCTCTAGTTTGCAACCAGGAACTCAGTACCTGTAATTCCATTGCTGGAATCAATCTTAAGGAAGTTCCTTTGTTCCAATCACCTGCCAGCCCCCGTCAACATCTTGTCTAGTCCCAACCAGGCCTTGGACCAGGAGTCAGGAGCTTGAGGTTTTCTTGCCAGTGATGCCATCATTTTGCTTTGTCTCTTTGGGCAAGTGACTTACCTCCTCTGGGTCACAATTATAAATAGAGGAGTTAGCCTGGATAATCTTAAAATGCCGCCTTCTCTGACATTCTGTGACCTTTGAGGCTTTCTCACAGCCTAGTCCCCGGATGTGGGATGTCCTCCCAGGCTTTGCTCCCTTCCCTCTTTCAGCCCCACCCTCTCCTCCGCCCTTCCCCAGGATCCTTGCCCTATTAACCCCAAACTAATTCCTTCCTTGAGTATGGTTGCCATTTTTCTTTAGCCTGTGAGCTCACAGTTCAGGCAAAAGCAGCTTGTACTTTCTGCCATAAGCACCTAATGTAGATCTTAATTCTGAAGGTTGAATGACAACTAAGTGCTGACTTTAGACACCCACTGTAAAAACTCTGAGAAACATCTGGTTTCTCTGTTCTTGCCTCAGCTGCCCCTTTCCTGGAAGTTCTCCATGGGGTTTTGGGGAGGCCAGGACATGACCCTGGGTGCTGGTATCTGGGCTGGACTGGGCCTCACTCCTGTAGCTCTGCGTGTGGGGGACAGAGAGCCTCCCATTTCCAGGGAGGAGCTCCTGGTGGACCGTGACCTGATGGGGCGGCCAGTAAAACCCACGACACTGCGGCCCCAACCAGCACACGGGGCACACCAGCCACCTGCAGGGAGGACAGACTGCACTCTGTCTCATCTGACCTGGTCTTCCTTCCTGTTTGCAGAACATGGGGGATGTGAAGCTGGCTGCCTCGACACACGTTTCCAAAACTTCCCTCACCGTGGATCACTCGGGAGTCAGCTCCATGCCCCTGGCCGAGGCCCCGGCTTTCATTTTGCCCCCTCGGAACCTCTGCATCAAGGAAGGAGCCACTGCCAAGTTTGAAGGGAGGGTAAGAAGGGGTGCTGGGGGAGGCTAGTGGGGGGGTCGCTGCGTCTACTCCAGACTTTTCCTCTGCAGGCTGACTTGGCAGAAAGCCTGCTTTTCTTTTGGACCCACATATAAAGTAAATAGATACCAATTTACTGTATTTCTTTTGTTTATGGTTGACTTCGGGCTATGGTGGAGAACTCGGGTGTGCTGGGTGGGGAACATAATGAGATGTTTTGCTATTAACACAGGTCTTGTCCTGGGTACGTGCACCTGATTATAGGAGGAGAAGACATGGGGTGGTGGCCGGAAGCACACAGCTGGGGTTTAAATATGTGCGCACACATCTGGACTATTGAGAGCTAACTCTTATTTTTCTCTTACTTCCTACCTGGAGGGAGTGTTTAGTTAACTAAGCTTCTCGTGTATGCACTTGATACACCCAGAGCAGTGGGGTGGCAGATAGGACCCCTTATTTCAGTTCTGTCACCTTTTGCTAATGGGTGTTGGTCTCTTGCTCTTATTGGTCCTCCATTTCTTCTTCTGCAAATGGGCAATGATAATTTCTTGCCCACCTTGTGCTAGAGAGGAGAAGAAGAAGATGGGAAGGTTAGCTGTAAGAACACTGAGGTTATGCCCAATTGGAGAAACTTTTAATAAGCTGCTGGCTCAGGCCACTAGGAAGTGGAATCATCATCTTGACATGGAGATGCACGTGGAAGACAGGGGGTTTGCAAGTAATATTCGTCCTGGATTAAACACGGGCAGTCTACCCCAGGAAATGCTTTAGAAGCTAGAAGGCTTTGATCTGAACAAAAGACAGCTGAGGTGATGAGGAACTCACAGGTGGCACTATGAATCTACAAGTTAAGAGCAGGCCCCTGAAATCTTGTGGCAAGAAGGGGTCAAGTACATCACTCTTCCTGGATGACACTGGGCCTGCCTTTGTTTGAGCGGCAGGGCTGGCTGTGTGGTCATCTGGAGAGTATTCAGGGGCTGCAGTGCATTATGTCCTCTGCACAGGTCCATCTAGCCTGCTGTTTGGTGGTGGGTATGACGTTCCTTGTTGTGTCTTTTACCTGAAGAAGATTGTTGGGGCATGTTGTTGCTGCTGCTGCAGGGTCTGTTTCTGCTCTCTGGGCACTCCCAGGCTGGGGGCTCTTTCCTGTTGCCCTGACTGTGGTTCCCCCATCCCCACATCCCCACAGCTGTCAGGAAAGAGGCAACAGGAAGAATCCCTGGGGATTTAGAAATGGGAGTGAAGTACTGACACATGCTACAACATAAATGAGCGCTGAAAACATGTGAAGTGAAAGAAGTCAGACAAAAAAGGTTACATACTGAATTATTCCACAATCTGAAATGTCCAGAATCCCCAAACCTGCAGCGACAGTAGATGAGAGGTTGCCAGGAGCCTAGGGAGGAGGAGTAGGGAGTGACTGCTTGTGGGTTTCTTTTGGGGATGGTGACAGTGTTCTGAACTTAGATAGTAGTGGTGGTTGCACCACTTTGTGAATGTGTTATAAGACACTGGATTTACACTTAGAAATGGAAAGTGAACTTTTAAAGAATGGCTTAGCAAAACCCGTCCTCTCTCCATACCCACCCTCCCGCCCTACTGCTTCTCAGGGACGGACTCCTTCCTCAAATCCAGACAGATGTGGAGAGGAAGAGATGACTTAACTTTTATAGATGAAGATGTCTCCGCTTCCTTTGCTGACTGTGGAAGCCATGCAGGAGCTGAGCTTTCTGGTTATTTGACTTGGAACCTTCTTAGAATGAGCTCTGTTGCAGGAGTCCACACACTGGAGTTCTCTGTTAGTCATCCTCTGGTTGGCAGGTCAGACCTTCTCTGGACCTCGATTTCCTTATCTGAGAAGAAACAACTAGTTGTTTCTGTATTTTCTGGCCTGCAGGGATGTGAAAAGAAAATGAGCTGAAGAAGAAAATGGTAAAAGCACTTCATAAAGTCAAAAAGTTTAATAATAACAAAATTTTTAAAAATGAGGTGATGGTTAGATACATAAACAAGTCTTAAGCAAGTCAGCGGCATTTCATGCATTCACTATGTTGATTGCAGTGTTCGTGGAGTGTAGCATTCTCTATGTGAACATTTTATTTTGCCTATATTGAGGAAATAGTTCACTTCGTATATTACATGTGGACCATAGGTCAGAATGAATGTATTCCTTAAAAGTCAGCCTGCAGAGCTCCGTTACCACGTCCCAACTTCCTGGAGTTAACCCAGAACAACACCTTGATGGCATGCTGGTGTATGGTGGGCACAGAAGGAAGATGATTCCAGGGAGACATTGGATGGAGTATCTGACTACATCTGAGAATTTGCAGAGAGAAACTCAGAGGAGGGGCTGACCTAGAGAGTGCTCTGTAAACTAGCATGCTGAGAGTGCATATTATCACTGTGGCAAAGAACACAAAGGAAGGCTTTGCATCAGGGAAGGGCCATGTCAGATGACTCCGGGATGAGGAGGTGGTTGATTGGATACTGACCTGGCGCCTTCAGAGAAGGGAAAGGTTAAGGTGATGGTGGCCTAAGTGACAAGAGCTTGGAGTAGGAGTTTTTAATTATAAAAGACCCAGTGCCAAATGGGGCCACCCCCTGATCACAACCAGGGGTTCTCTGCCTCTAGTGTGTTTAAACCTTCTCTCCTGTGGCCATTTACCCTGCCTGCAGCTGACCCCTCTCTCCAGGCCCTGGGACGCATCCTGTTCTAGAGGCTTTCTCTGCACCAGCCAGTCCTGGTGTCAGTTTCACAGTGACCCCCGGGACCTCAGCTCTCCAGTAACTGAGCTCTTGCAGAATCTCTTACAACTGAATGACTTTTAAAATAAGCCTTCAAGCTACTTCTTAGGCCCAGGCTGGTGGCCACTGTAGCTGCTGGAACCCTTCTCTTCCTTGCAGCAGTCCTCAGGACCTCTGTCAGCTTTCCTCTCCCCACTCTCCCTTCTAAAGCATTGCCTCCACCAGCTTGAGCTCTAAAGCCTGGGTGTGGAGGTTACTAGGTTGTGCCAGCTTCTTCTGCAGGGGGCAGAGGGACCCTCCCATCACTGTAGGAACACAGTGGACCCCACAGATGTGAGAAGATTTTAAAAGTTCGTTTCCTACTGCCTTCTGAAGCTGGTAATTAGAAGTTAGTTCAACCTTGCACTTTCTGGTTTTATTCCTGAAAAGAGGTAAAAACTGCTTCCTGCCCTGCCCCTCTTCCTCTTTATGCCTATTTTTAGGCCAAGGACTTAATGAACCCTCCCCACCTCCCTCCAATAAAGCCCCTCTTTCTATCAAAAAGACTTAGTGACCTTAAGGCAGGACCACAGGTGCCCCTGTGGTTCTTTTCTTTTTCTGAGAAGCTCCAAACTGTGAGATGTTCATCCCACACCATCTATGCCTCATATCTATTAGGGTCTTTCCACTTTGTGGCAGATACTTTGAACCGACATGTAACCCATGACCAATCCCCTTTGCCCTTCCCTCTTCCACTCTAGAGGCCACCTCAGAGGCTTCCTTTGCAGCTAAGACTGGCTCAGTAACACATTTGGCTGAAGTCAGCTAGGGAATTTCTGGGAAAGTTCTAGCTTTTCTGATTAAAACAAAACAAAATTTAAAAAATCACTGACGCTCTCATATTCCACCTCTCTCCTGCCTCCTGCCTTGAAAGCATTTTTGATACTTGGTGCTCAGGCAGTCATATTAAAACCATGAGACAACAAGCCAGAGTACAAAGGATTGGTTGGGGTGGACGTCGTTGGGGGGTGCAGCAGTGGAGGCAGCATAAAGACCAGCAGCTAAGAGACAAAACTCCTACGGCTTAGCCTATTTCCAGATAGGATCTTTGGCTGTGATTATCACAAAGGAAATTTTGCAAAAACTGTTCCTAACTGATTAATACCTAATGAGATGCATGTGGAGATACTGTCTCTTTACATGATGGAATACACAGGGGAGAAGACGTAGCACAGAGAAGAAAAAAATTCCTTTCAGACCTTTCTACCAACAGTGAGGGGAGTGCTTGAGTTGAATGTGGCCTCGTGGTTAAAACATTCTGGAAGAATTTGTTCCTCCCTGGCTGTGTGCATCTAGCTTGACCCAACAGGGTCTAGGGTCTATGAGAGGAAGTCAATCATGTGAGGTTAAGTAGTAATTTAATATCACTATAGAAACTACTATTTAATCAGGGTCTGATGATTAGGCCGAAACTATCTACCCCTGCCCTTTCTTAATTTGCTCTGCCAGTTTGAGGAGATTGTATTTTCCGGATCTCATATAACTTTGGATCTCTATCCCATCAGTACCAACTTTAGACCCAGGCAACCCGAGCCCACATTCCAGAAACCCCTGTTCCTTTGGCTGCACCCTCACCTCAGAGTAAGGGATCTGTCTGCCCAAGGGATGTGCCCCCTGGAGTCACGCTGTTCTCCATGTTCTGGGCACCCAGGACCTTGGCATTCTCTACCAAAGGCTACTTCTAAGGCCTTTGTGGACCTCTTCCGGTGAGAAGATACTTCTAGGCCTGAGTGGTATGGTCAAGGGGTATCTGTTTGCTTGGGGGGACAAGAAGGTAGATGAAATTCAGATGTGGGGGTCTGCTGTCTGCCCCTGTGCTTAGGAGGACCCCTATGATGCAGGATGCAACTCAGATGAGAACAGCAGCACAGTGGACTGTGCCACCGCCCGGGAGCACTGCTGCGCCCAGCGCGCTGGGGCCTCCGTGCACAGAGAGCTCAGGGCCGTCTGAAGCGCTGCCAGCTGCCCTGGTGCCCGTGCGAGCTGCTGAAGGGCTGCTGGGCTGCTTCCCCCAGCACAGAGTCAAGTACGAGAGGGGCCAGGGGGTAGGAAAAATACTGAAATTACTGGAAATTCTTCCCTTCTGCCCTGGAATTCATTCTTATCAGAAAAAGCAAACATGGTGATGGGCCCTGGCTGTGTGGTGAATCCAATGAGCTGATACTTTAGTGCCTCTTGAAGTACAGCCCAGGTGAGGTTTCTGCCCAGAGCCAGGGGCT